TAACACGGGATAATGAGTCTGCTTTCTCCTCTGCATACACCAAACTTTGTAATAATTGAGTACGTCTTTGGAATCAACAAACACAATTATTCTCACTATAATTAGTAAGCAGTGTGGTTGCTGGGAGACTATTTTCTTTATTTGAAAGTTATCCATTTCCCTCCTTTAAATTTTTCACGGCAGGCTCCAGCATTTTTTTGCGTTTCCTGTGGCAACGCTGAACTGGCAGATAAGGCGGCAGTGTGAACGTTCTCATTTAATTCCCAGCATGAGCTGAATAAGCCCCGTTTTTAAAACGCTGGACCAGGAGAGATCCAGCTGCCACCACCGAACTTCTCCTTTCCTGGCCAGTAGGGAAAAAAAGCGTCTTTTTAGCGCCTGACCGGCTCTGATTAGCTTCCAGCAGGAGTTTTATTGCTCATGTTTCTGCTTCAGGTCACAAGTTGACCTCAGTAATAAAGAAGAGAAAGGCCTCGTGTGGAGCTAAAACGGAGCCGTCATTAGCCACTGTAAGGTGTTGTGGGAAACTCACTTTGCGCATCAAGCTGTTCGCATTTCTACTATGACACTTTCCAACTGCATTTTCGTCTCGTTGGCTTTTTGTCTCTTTCTCCTCTGTGTTTTGTTTTCATATGCCGGCTCTAAATCCGTCTCCCAGAAGCTCCCGACGTGTCGCCGCCGCGTCTCTGAAAATCTGAGGCAGGCTTAAGCCTCCGTCTACTCTATTGCCGCTTCCTCCCGTCTGATTCGGCTCGCTCCGTGCGGCTTAGGAAAGCCTCGGCAGATGAAGGAGAGATTGTTTTGGCTGCTTCCGTGTTGCTGACAAGGAAACACGGCGCTGAATGCAAAACAAAAAAAAAAACAGGGCATTTTCCACAAGGCTTGCTTTGCAGACATGATATTTCTGGGTTTAGAGAGACAGACTGACATTGCCTTTGTCCTTGTCTAACATGTCTGTGAACTTGTCGACACGAAACACAGAGTGTATACCCCAAACATGAGGGTTTTTATTTTCAAATGCAATCACAAGATTGTTTCAGGGGAAAATACATGCATATTTTGTCAGTTTTCAGCCACGATCTGATGCATTTTACTAATGTTTCATAACTAGAGACTAGCAAATAGCTTATAAGTGTGAAGAGGTGCAGCACACAAAAGCTGACCTTGCACATTCTTATTCACATATAGACACAAACACTTCAGAATCGTGCTTCAGCACATCGAACTGATAATCTCCTTTCCCACAGACTGCTTATGAAATGGTCCAGAATGCAATGAATCCGTTTATGAAAATCTTACTACATGCTTTAAAGTAAATGACTGTAATCCTGATCTGAACTTTTATTTTTTCTGCCTTTCATTCTCAGGATCTGCAGTTTAAATTCCAGCCCAAACTCTTAAAATGTGTATTTAGAGATGCTTCTAATCTCCAACCACTGAGACAGTCTGAGATGAACAATGTAGTAGACCAATTTCTAAAGAACACATTAACCCTCCAGCCAGAAGGGAGAGCTGTTTGGTGTTGGGATATAATTTACTCACAAAAAATACTATCGAAAATCTGATGATATTTAATATATTTGCATAAACCACTTATAATCAGCATTCCACGAGCCGATTATCAAAACAGATTAATAAAATGAGCTCATTTTATTGCTTTAAGTCTGAAAACAATTTCCAAGTTCAGTTTATTAGCCCAGTAAGTAACGTTGACTCAATTTTTTTTGCCTGACAGAAAAGTCTGTCAACTTGTGATGAACACATTTAAGGCCAACTTACTTTTAATTTAAGACTTTTTAAGGATCCACAGACACCTTGGATTTGAACGCTGCTGTCACCTGGTGACCACAGGCTCATCAGGCAAGTATAATTAGACAATAAAGTCTTCCTGCATCTTCTCGGAAGCATCCTAGTTTAAAAGTTGTGATTTAGAGAAGACTTAAAGTAAGCTAAACCTGTGAGGATTAGACTTTTCAAAATGAAACGTAGCTTAGCGTTTAACTTGTAATAACATTACATAATTAATAAACACTGCAAATGAAACCAGCTTTAGCTCCATATTTCCACCCAGGTGTTGCTCTGCCTGACCTCCTGTAATTGTCTCATTTCCTTCGTCTGTCTGTCTCTCTTCAGACCATCCGGCGACTGATAAGCGAGGTCTTCTAGCACTTTTTCCCCATTCATCATGCAGCTCCCAGGTGCTGAATGCAGGTATGCAGCGAGCAAATAAATAAATATCTGACAAGGTGACGCCTGAATAGATGAGAAATCCTGCGCCGTGTCAAGACGAGCTGCGCAGAAAATCCAATCAGGCCTCAAGTGTCAGCGAGATTAATAGCTGCTGTTATTTAGACTCGACGCGAAGGGGCCGGGCGTGCGCCGTTTGGGGCCGGTGAGTGAATGTGGGGGGGAAATAGATCATATTATCCTCTCTGCAGAGACGGTGGTGGTTTTATTTAAAGGCAGTCAAACGCCAGGAACTTTGGGAAGTATAGGAGGAAAGCTCATAACCCGGTGGGCGGCTGTTAAAAGTCAGCATCCTTCTTTCATCTTTGGTGTGTATTTTATCAAAGGTGGGAGGGCAGTTACTCTTCCTCCCTGTGGCATTAAAGACAATGAATGTTAGTGGCGACGGGCCAATGTGGACAATATGACGGCCGAGGTCTTAAAGGGAGATAATCACACGGCGCGATAAACCCAGTCAAATGAGCGACCCTGGCTTCTTTATGGCCCCAATAACAACACACTTATCTAACACCTTAAAGCACGGTTTAAAAAACGCTACCAGAGACATTTTGTTGGATTACTGAAGACCCAGAAGATTCCACATCTAATTTCTAGAAAACTCTTTCGGCTCCTTGCAAAACCATTCGTATCCGTTTAGTTTTTTTTTTCCAAATTTGTCACATTATGAGCGTTATTTTATAGTGATTATGGAAAAGTCTGAAAACTGTGACTTGCGTTTGTGTTCAGGTCTTTTTCCATCCATCAAACTAAAGCTGTGCAACATATTCATCTTAATCCGACTGCAAAGGATTTGTAAAAGGTGGCAGGGAAATTAAGATCATAAAAAAGAGGGAGGAAAACGCATTATTCACAAATGTCACTGCAGTCATGAAGGACTGTCACAATTATTTGATTTGCTGTTTATGTTGAACAAACCAAGCTCAAACAGCAAAATTTTCCCCATCATGGCAAATCAACCTTTTCTACTGGTTGTCCCAATTTAAGAGGATTTCACAAAAATGTCAGATCGGACAGCAGGAAATGGAGGCGACTTGTCCTGATGGCATCACTAAACCTGGTCGCCACATTCAGGTTGTTGTGGGTTAAGTTTCTACAAAATGAAAGATGAAACCCCCTCTTGTTTTCATCTCATTTTTTTCATTCGACTTTCTGGCCGACACAGAAGCATTTTAATCGCATAATTTGTGTGACACTGAATTTAAATGTTTTTTAAATACATTTTCTGTGTATTTACTTTTTTCTGAATGTTGGTGACAAATTAAGAGGACAGCCCACAATCACTCACAGCAATTTCCTCCCCTCGTTGCCATTCAGGCGGCTGATTAAAAACAGAAAAAGACCAATGTCTGTCAGTGCTAATTACCTATGCAAATAGGCCCTGCAAAGCAATTATACCCCCGTAAAACACACACCGTGCTTCTATCAAGCGCTGCTATTATGCAGAATAAAAAGATGGTTAAAGGCATCCAACTCTATGTCATACATTTTTGCTATGACCAGATAAAAAGTCATATTTCAGTGGATTATTTTGGAAACCACCTCAGCTGCATTTCTATCAAGAAATCGAATAGGGCTGGGCAAACATAGACATAAAAATCAACAACTGGATTAATTTGAAGGGAGATCTGCAGGTGGTTCTCAGTAATATGATGCCTTACTCGCAGTGATGTCGCCATAAATTTGCTCAAAATGGGGGGAAAAAAATAGATTATTCACTCGCTGTCTGCTTTTGCTGACTTTGGCAGTTTAAAACAAATTAAAACTCAAAATTAATATCTGCAGGAAAACACTTTGGATTTATGTACATTAATAGATGATTGTAACATTTGGTGCCTTTTTTTTAGCTAGTCTGCTGAAATAATTTTTTTTTCAAAAGGTCAGGCGAGATCTGACTTATTTTTGTTGACAATGATGCTAACAACATATGTAGCTAGTCAACAGCAAAACCAGACAATGGTGACTTGTAGAGATCCAATCAGATTTAACGTCTTAGAAAAATGTTAATACATAAAAAAAAAAAACGGTAGCTAATTTATCTTTTAAATGATTTCTAGTTAGTCATACTGGACCGTAGATGTTCAAACATCCATAATGACCTTTACTTAGAAGACGATACGTTATCAGTCAATTACAACCTCATAATTAATATTAATGGTGTCCTCTATCTGTAGAGCATAGCACTCTGTGCAAAGTCTTTAATAAAACAACTTCTTTTGTTCCTGCTGAACATATCTTGATTTTCTCTCACGACTTCTGTTGACTCATTTTCTTCAGAAAGCGGTGAGGCCGAGGAGAGCGAGGACGGGGCGTGAACTTGTTTTATTTGGGCTGCGTGTTTAAAACAGATGAAGTGAGGGGAGAATCAGCACAAATATTCTTATGATTGCATCGCTTTCTCATTCTCTGAGACCAGTGGGGGAGAAGAAATTGGTTTGTCTGCGCTTGCTTTAAAGAAATACGACACACTGATGCACATTATTGATTTTTGACCTGCAAACACGGCCATTTATACATGAGCATAAAACCAGAGAGGAAAACGATGTTGGACAGAGGAGACTGATCACACTCAGTGGACTTTTGCTTTTTTTGACCCTTCTGGGACACCAGAAGGGTATTTGTAAGGTTATCCTTACAAATAATTTGTGTTTGTCACCATTCTCTACGAGTCTGATGCACGTACATTTTTAAACTATTTTTTGGAAGAAAATATTTAGCTAGTCCAGCTAGTGACACAAAAGACCTTCAGTACACACCTTAAGATCAGGGGCTTTTCTCTTGCTTCCCTCCATGAAGCGTTGACAGGAAGTGGATGAAGTCAGCCCTTACATCAGCAGTGATGTAAGGAGGATTTGGCAGCTTGAGAGCAAAACAGAAAAAAAAAATCTATTGCACTTTGCCCTCGGAGCTTTGTACCACCTACCAGAACAGAGAGGAACAAATTACCTCCTTAAAAGTGACCTTACCTGCCTCACAGTTTGCCAAATTTCTAAAAGAAAAAAAACACACACACTTTCTCTGAGCCAATTATCTTACCGGCTGTATTGACTACACTTGGAATTTATTTATTTTTCGCTGTTTTGTGAAGCTGCCACACAGAGATACAAAGCAAAAGGCTAAAACAGACCAAATGTAGCAGACTAATAGCAGAACTCCAGCAACAAACGACAGAACCTTTAAATAATTTGCTTCAACAACTGAGAATGGGTCATGTAGACAGAACGCTCCCTAAAGTGAGGCCTACAAACACACTGGGAAATCAGCAGTGATGTAGGTCAGTAAAAATCACCTGCGGTTGTTGAAAACGAACCTCAACAGTCCTGAAGATGGCTTCTTTTTTTTTTTTATTCCTCTCAGAGGGAACGTTTTCTCAACGCTGGGGTCAGCTGAACAAAAATACTAGCACTCCCACGTCGCCTGTCCTTTGGTGTAACCGTGACACTCTCCCACTTCTCTAATGAATGAGAAGATTAAATACTTAATGCGAGCAGAATGTCGTCCCCAAACGCAGAGCGACTTCCAAGGTCAAAGAACATTCATGAGCCGCTCATCTCACCTGATGCATTTACACCACATCAGACAACAATTATATTTTTTCCCCCTATGGAGGAATATTAGCTAGGTCTTTCTTTTTCTAAAACCACGACATACCGAAGAAACAGTTCATTGAAAATAATCGTCACTCTGTCAGCTGCCATGACAGATGTCTGCACTGTGCTTGATTGAAGCTGAACAATTCACCTGCTGACTTTTAAATTCGCACTTGAATCTGGTAGAACAGACCCAAGGCCACACATTGAATAAGAATCTTAGCAAGAAAATCAGGTGGTAATCATCTATGAACTGCATTTATGATCAGGATTTTTTATCTCTTCAATTCAGAGAACAAAACAGTCATAATAAAAGCAAACTGAATTCAGAAGGAGCTGCTAATAGTAAACTAGTAAACTAGATGCTTGTTTGTATATTAATAGGCTGTGTAATTAGAAAGTTCACACACGAAAGTATCAATCAAGTAATGGCCATCAAAAACAAGTAGAGAAAGCAAAGTTTTTAACATCAATGCAAATGTATCACATTCGTCAAATAAGGAGGTGGAAGTCAGGAGAAATGTTGTCTGAGAACGTTAGCTTGGAGATCTACCCTATCGGCACTCTACACACAGATTTAAGAGCTCATTAGCTCTAGCAGAATTCAGTTACATGTGATTTCTGCTCCAGTTTTGATCAGCATTGTTTCCTACTCTTTGCTCTGTTTTAAGTGCATTACCAAAATATTTTCTATCAACAAGCCATCTTACGGTAGTGTAAAACATGTCGTTAGTGAATGAAAGTAGCTAAAAGTCTCACTTTCAAACATATTAACTGCAGTTCTTTCACTCGTGAGGGTTAGAACTTGTTAGGATGCTATTTTAAGAAAATTTGTCACAGAATGACGAGCCCTAAATATCTGTGTAAGCTAATGCTAATGTTGGTATGGAAGTTAAAATACTTATTTTCACAACTTATTCAGTTGGCTTAAACACTGAGGAAATACAAATTGCTGTTGTAGCTACTAATGGAAATCAATTCTAAATTAAACATAAAATGATTTAGGGATGCTAGAATATGTTTATATAGACGGAACACAACTAAAAACCAAGAAGAAACAATAGATTTTCTTACCTAAAAAACTTTATATTCAGCAACGTCACATGCAGTCACTTTGAAGATAAGTTGCCAAATCCACCAGAGCCATTTGTTGCTGTGTTGGCATGAATTTTGTCGTGACCTCTTCGCCTCAGCTTTGGGTTGCTGCCTCCAGTCATATTGTTAGTCCTAAAGCAAAAATTGTTCCAAAGACAGATTGTTTTGAGTGTAAAGAAATCCACTTCTATTTACCTTAACAAATGATTTTCTTTATGGTGAGATTATTGTTGTACAGACTACGTCTTCAAAACCTACCACAACAGAAATGTCTAGAACAGAAGACACATTAAGCCAATCCTGAACCACATACAAAGTCTGAGGTGTCTTAGGGAAACGTGACTGATCGTTGGCTCAGCGGTACTAACAGTTTCAAGAGTCCCACCTGCCTAGGAAAGCAATGGACAGCTGAGGAACTACTTTCTTAGATCGTCACAGTCTATCAGTTTAAATCAATATCTAACTTACATTCAGGACGCCAGGTTCTCATTGTCCCTGTGGCAACAATTACTTAGTTACAGCGGCGATAACAATGATTGCTGTAATAAAAGCCATTACCATGTGTCACCATCGAAAAATTATGTTCTTTTGGAGCCAACGTCCACTTTCCAGTCTAAGGCAAAGAAATCCTGTTACTTTGGTTCTTTGTGTCAGAGCATGTTTGAGCGCAACGCAGTGAAAATGAGTGCGACCTCGACACGTTTTAATGTTGTTCTTGATGCACATGCTCTGCCTTGTTAACGCATGAGTGGAACAAAACGCACAGAAAGATTAAACGCAAAGCTAATCAGAAGCAAACGTCATTTTTGGTTGCAGCCATGTTTAATTCCGTTCCCGTCACTGCGTCAGCCATTCTGTTTTCCCCCAAAGGTCAGGATTGTATTTCCAGAAATGATTTATTTTCGGCAGTGAAGTGGACACTTGAACAGATCGGTTGACAACAGGAAAATCATTTAGTCTGATTGAACTGAGGCTCTTCCACAGACCAAAAATGAAACGTATCTTTTCTCCTGCCGACCAACCAGGATGTCTGAACGCTCACTGTGTTTTCACCCTCCTTTTTTTTTCAGAAAAAAACCACCTTAACCTAATCTAAACTTTTTTCTTTAGGTGAAATTAAGGAAGTTATTTTAAATTTTGCTGTTTCCATTAACTTTTTCATGTACAGGTTTTAGGGTCAGGGGAAAGGGCAGCTAAGATCCCTGCAGACCCCACACATTCTGGACACAAGCTGGTTGGACTTTTACCTCCAGGTCTACACTACAGAGCGCTATTTGAAAAAACAAGATGTCATAAATGCATTTTTACACTATTGTTCATTTCTTCTTTTTTTAAAAAAAAAAACAGGCTGTATACAATTTTTTCACAAAACCTTTTCTTTTTCTTTTTATATATTTATATTTAAAATGTTTTCATTGAGAGAGAGCAAAGTGAAGCTGAAGTCTACTTCCATTTCTGTGTGCATAAACTTAACGAATAAAGCTGATTCTGTTTAAGTCTACACATAGCCATAATGTACATCACTGTTTTGTTCAGGTGTAGAGGTTTGAGTGTTTAAAGTTTGTGTTTTAATTCAAATGTGCACATGCCACCAAAACGTCTAGAAGTAATTTTTCAATTGTGGCTGCACAAAATTATTCCAAGGCCCATTTGCAGCCGTTGAACCATGAGCAAACCACTTTTACTCATTTTTCAGGGGTAATATTGCTATAACATCAGCAAACAGCCAAAACAGCTTTTGTACATTTTTAACTAAAAGCTGAGATAAAAGTGGTGTGTGTACTTATCTGCATATTTGTCTTGTAGTGGCAACAGGAAATGACATGCATATAAATCTAAAGCATTAAGCATTTGAGTTTTACTAGAAGAACTATAGTGAATCTAGGTACATTCACCGGAGACAATGTTTCTAACAGGAAGATCATTGGTGGCGCACCGCCTCCTACCTTCATTTCCTGTGGAAATTATCAACCTGTCCAAACAGGACTACAGTTTGTGTCCATAAAATAACCACGATGGTGGTGTTTAAGTTTACAGTTTGAACTCAAAGTTCAATTTATTATTGAGTTCGTCTCAAACTAGCCGCTAGCTTTAGCTTCCCTTTAAATGACATTGCTTACTATTTCCACATTGAAAACAGAGGAGCCAGTCAGCCTCCAGGGCCCGTTTCCATCAATCAGAATCACATCGACATTACAAGTCGCAAAGTCAAACAGTGTCCCCTCACTGAACGAATTGGCAGTCGAAGCAGACAGATGAGATCGCATCTCAGGAATGCTAATTCACTGGGAGGCTGGATCTGGAGTGGTCGTGATTAAAGACTCAATTTCCCAGAGGTCAGTGTGGTGTGATCACATATTACCGCTAACTGATGGAGTGTCTCTGACACCTGCACTCTTGACGGCGCGGCTGTCACGAGCGGCGGCATCAGAACAACCTGTTGGAAGCGCGCTGCCTGATGGGAGTCCTGTCACATTAAGTCGCTGAGTTCTTAAGCAGCTGTGTTACTCTATCGTGCTCCTCCGTCATGCCGTTGTTTATGTAAAAGCGTGAGGGAGAGCGGCTGCTGTTTGAGCGGCTTAGCCCTGAAATGCTGCCATCCAGCATTATCTTCACACAGCAGAAAGCTGCGCCATGCCTCACCCCAACGAGCGGACGGCTTTATAAAGTGGCGCCTTGTATTGCAGCTCTGTCGCTACAATGTCGGCATTGAAATGCAATTATTTTGAATGTGTATCTCAGTTAACCAGCGTCTTTCTGAAGCAGTCAGCTGTCATTACTACAGCAAGCTTCCCTGTAACAGTTACAATTAAGAAAAAATTGTCCATCATGAAACAGCTGAATTTTTTTTTTTTTTTTAAAGTGAGATTAGCGTATTAGGATTTACTACAAATAGAGTGAAATATTTCAAGCTTTTATTTCTTGTCATTTTGATGATTATGGCTCCCATAATGAAAACGCAAAATTCAGTCTCAGAAAATTTTAATAGTACCAATTTTAATTCATAAAAATTGGTGTTATACATATATGTGAATATGTAATGAAGTGCAGCAAATTTGCTGACGGTTGAGCAAAGATAGGATGGGTTTGAACCCGTTTGTTTAGCTTTTAGAAATGTACTTTGTGTTGCTCCAGCTTCTGCTGCCAATCATTCTGTTCATTATTATTATTATTATTTCCATCATGTTTCGCTGCTCATTCATGCCAAATCAGGGCTAGGGGATTTGCATCTGATATAAATTCACATGAAATTGGAAAAAATAAAAAACTGAAGGTCAAAAACAAATTTAGAACAGAATAACAATCTTCAGCTTGGAAAAATAAGGTGAATCCCTGGTCGAAAAAAAACAATTGACTAGGAAACAATACATTTAAAAGTAAAATAATGAAATAGCGAAAACAAGCAAAAAAATCCTTTCCTATTGTCATTAAATTTTTGTGTTTTTTAAACAAACAAAATGGCCGTGATTTAGCTCCATAATTCTGCAACTAAGGAAAAACGTCAAATATGTAGGCCACTTTTAAACGCGTCTCCCTGAGATTCAGGGTTATTCTATGAACAAGTGACAGCTTTACATGTGGAAAACACTGAAATTAGTATCTGACTCAGCTTCCACTTCAAAGCTAACTTCAGCTCACTAAGACAACGACAGCTCGCTGTATAAGCTGCATATTAAGAAAAAATTTTAAATGCTTAACTCTCAAAACACTTTGAAAAAATCAACTAGAAAGCCCAAAGGAAAATCTGAGTATGAGTTTTTCAAATATTGTATATATTTACTATAAAATTAGATAATCATGGCGCAGCTTTACGGAGGCTGTCACTGGAGGTCGACGGAAAAGCCGCGTCAGAGAGAGTGTGCGTTTCCTTAAAATCATGATACAACATTCTTCCACGCGTATGAACATATGAATATAGATGTAACATGGGAAATATGAATGTTTTATACACCTCAACTCGGTACTTACCTCTTTTGTGTGGAGTCCGAAGAGGTGAAGTACACAGCTGAAGGACAAGGTCAATCAAATTAGTGGTAAACTATGAGAGGCGTATCTTGCTTCATTTTCTTTCTGTGTATGCATTTTTATTTTGTCTTTCACTTTCAAAACACAACAAACGAGGAAAGTCGTGGCTACACATAACTGCTATTTTTATGTAGATTGTCTTTTATAAAAGATAAAGTTTACCTTACAGCAGCTACCTGTCCCTACCCTTACCAGTAGGTGGCGCCCTACACAATTGTATTTTTGGTCTGCGCCACCTTGAGAGTACGGATGATTAGAGTCCCTAAACAAACAAGAATTCTGACTTGGAAACCATAACCCTGAGGCTAAATCAGAAAGATAAAAACATTTTCTCTGCATTTCACTTAGATGAAGTGAAATGCAGCTTTTTTATATTTTCTATGTGGTTCAGTTTAAAATCTTCTGACAGGAAGTCAAAATGACTACCAACCACACAAGTTTTGGATGTGTTGTAGTTGGCTTTAGTTGGTGTGACAAATCTCATTGACAAATCTTTTTCGATGCATGATTCCTATTATTTCAGCTGTAATCCAGTCATGTCCTTAAATCAGTCAGTATTTATTTACTCTTTAACACTGTCAGTCTTTTTCATCATGTTTTGCTTTTTTCTTTTAACCAGAACTGCATATTTCTTTCTTTTTTTTTTTGCTACCTTGGACGTAGTGCACATAAGCTGTGATGGGAATACGTTAAGCTAAAATAGCAAAGGTGAAAAGAAGAAAAGGAGTAAATGGCTTCCTCTTGGTGCTCAGAAAGGAGCCTAAACCTAGCTGACTTTTCAATGTGACATGTAGGTTTCTTTATCAAAGCGTTCACTAAAGCAAAACTGAAAAATAGAGGAATTATATTCTGGCTGGAATTATGTTCTGTACTGTAAGAAAGCTAAAGTGCATCAAGCAATCTAACACTCAATTATGTATTCACGCTTTTCTGCATAACATCCTTTAAAGTAGCTGAATTAGAAGTTAACGGTGTGTTACTGGAAACCTCATGGATGATGGTGTGGATGAATCTGGCACAAATCTTAAGTAACATAAAAGGGACTGCTATGGTTTAAAGTATCTTTAATAGCTCACAGATTTTCTGCTAAATCTGTGAGCAGGAAGCAGTGGCAACAGATCTGAAGAGGCCCCTGACTGAAGAGACTGTTGCTGTGTGATGGCAAAAATGATATTCTGCAGGAACATGTCCTGGATGACACCAATTGTTGGCGAACACTGCTGATCCACCTCATTTGCTTTTGCCTCTCTTCTTTAAATCTCTGTGTGGCTGAATGGCAGGTATTGAGCTTTTGAGATGATAATAACCTGCTCCTTGCTAAAAAAAAAAAAAACTAAAAAAAAACTGAAGACATCTTGTTACCATGGTTATGAATAATGCTAATTGTCCAAAGGTGAAAACAAAAGAGAAAAAAAATCCTGCCAGCTGCACAGCATCCAAAATCAGAATGAATAATTATTCAAACGTGTAAAAAAAATTTGTTAATTTTTATTTATAATATAAATTAACAAAAATCTACAAAAAAACAAATCGCAACCAATGTAACAGAGCTACTCCAACATCATGCCACGATGAGAGCCACATTTCTAGAGAATTCTCAAAGTTTCAGAGAACTTTGAAAAGAAGAAAAATCAGCTGGGAGCATCACTTCTAATTTCCTGAAAAATCCAATATGGCCGCCCACCCCATTAGAGTCTAAAGATAGCAGGAATAATGAGCTGTTTATTTGCACAGGACTGTCATCTGCTTTTTAACATGCTGTTTATTGCTGAATTCGCCAATAGTCTGGTCACTGAGGGCAATACTGAGCAAAACACACCGATTCCATGAATTTGGGAACGTCGTAACAAGAACTGACTGTTCCGGTAAAAGTAATGACAGAGACGTAGAGAAAAACAGTTGTGTTTAAAAAAAGATTAATAATTAAGTATTAGTACAAAAATAATGATTTCTTCAACATTTTAAAAGGTAAGCAATGAGTTATGTAAAAACTCGATAATGATATCCTCAAAACTCCACACCCCATTAGTGAATAAAAAGCTGATTTGGGGGGGCAATAGCTCACAGTTGGCAAACAATTGAAACAAGAACAGTAACATGCCTTGTAAATTATTGAACAGGTTACTAAATGTGTCAAAAAGTGAATTTTAGAAACAAAGAAGGTAAAAATAAACAACTGAATTGTAGATTAGATTTTTTGCTATTACCACAGCTTTGTTTTCACACACACACACACAAATGTCCCCAGTGAATTATAACCCTCAAGTCTGGACATGTGGTTTACATTTTTAAATTCAAAAAGCTTAAAAATACATCACAATTTAAACAAACCTGCTTAAGCTAACCGCTTTAGCACTGTTAGCTAAAGAGTTAATGGGAACTTGAGTTGTAAAACTACACCACCTAGTGTCTATCATGATAATAAATGCTTTAGAAGTTTGCTAGCACATTTGCTAACTGCTAAACCATTTTACTCCAGTTCTAAAGTCCCTACACTGGCTCCCTGTAGCTCAGGGAATGACTTTAAAATACTGTTGCTAGTTTATAAATCACTGAACAGCTTAGCACCACAATACATTACAGATCTGCAGGTTTCCAGCCTTCCAGAACCTCTCAGGTCTTCTGGTTCTGTTCTGCTTTGCATCCCCAGAACCAGAACCAAATTAGGAGAAGCACCATTCAGTGTCTATGCACCACAAATCTGGAACAAACTTCCTGAAAACTGCAAAAGTGCTGAAACACAGAGTGCCTTTAAATCTAGACTAAACTTAGAATTGCCTTTTTTAGTGTAATCAATTAAGATTTTAACAATGGCACTTGATTAAATTCGATTGTTGATTCTAGGCTCATAAAGGTTAAAGCTTTATTTCAGTATCAAACAAATACATAATAAATGAAAAACAAAACAAAACATGTAGGCTGATTGATTTTAACCATTCTGGTTAACAGTCAGAAGCTCCCAGAAACAGCTAAAGCTAAAGGTGATGAACATGATGAGTCCACTTATTTTTATACTTGCTATACAGGAAATTTAAATCTTCTTACATTCAAATAACTTTCAATATCATCCATCACAAATCTGTCAAGTTATGTTTATGAAACAAAAGTAAAATGTTTTTTAAAAATCCTAACACAGAAATAGATTGAAAGGATACACTGACTCACACTAAAATGCAAAAAACAAATATATTCTTCCATTACAAATTAATCACTGAGTTGACAAAGCGTGAAGTAAATCAAAATTCAAATTAAATCCAAGTTCTAATGTAAAAACGTAATTTCCTGCACTACAGCTAGCAACTAATTCAGAACAATACATTTTGTACAATTGCATAGCCATAAGAAACAAACACCTGAGCAGCAAAAAGCACATCTCTTGATTTCCGTTCTCTGAAATCCCCATCTTCTTCTCCTCTAGATACCATCATAAAAATAAATACCGCAACAATTGGCTTTTCCATCCTTTTTGTTTACTTGATGTCAAGCTAGGCATGCTTTCAGTCCTTATCTCCGAGAGAGCGCTTCCCGCTGCGCCTGCGACCAGTTAACTGATCGGCGCCCCCGTCGTCACCAGCTTGTAGTAGGCCCCGTTCAAGGCCATGAGCTGGTCGTGCGTCCCTTTCTCGATCACGAAGCCCCTGGACATGACAGCGATGATGTCCGAGTTCTGAATGGTAGAGAGGCGATGAGCGATGACGATGCACGTCCGTCCCTCTCTGGCTTTGTCCAGGGCTTCCTGCACGGTCTGTAATTACCACCGAAATGCACACACATGTAAATACAAATGCATTGATGTGTGTGAAAATGCATGCACACACGCACGCACACGCACACACACGCACACTCACACGTACGGGCAGGATCCATTATCTAATCTCCCACAAAGCAGACAAAACCATCACAATTATAGCAATTTCACAATCATGTGTTGATTACTATCATTAGAATGTTCCAGTGGAGCGGTCTCTCTGCTGCTCAGCATGGTTCAACCCTTTGAGATGGAAAAGCTGCTGCAAAGGCCCACAGATAATATTCATGTGAGAGAGGCTCCACCAGAGGGTTGGGATGTACTGTAAGCAGCTTGGGATAATAATAGACATGATGAATGATGTTAACGATGATAATAATTAACTGCCTGCCCTTTTTGCTTGTGGTGCCCAGAGAACAGTGAGCCAGCTGTGCCGCGCCAGCGGGAGACGGAGCCCCTCGGTTTACCGAAGCCCTACCTTTTCGCTTTCCGTGTCCAAGGCCGAGGTGGCCTCGTCCAGCAGCAGGATCTTGGGGTCACGTATGATCGCCCTGGCGATGGCGATGCGCTGTTTCTGACCACGAGAGAGCTGAGAACCCTGGGAGCCCACATTGGTGTCGTATTTCTGTGGAATGAGGAGGAGACAAGAACTCCCTTTACGCAAAAGGCCTTTGCTGTAATCAATGGTCAGCTGAGCTACTGTTGCCTTTTAATTCTCTGAAGTCAGTCCGAGCATTCTCTTCTAACCTCTGACATCAGCAAGACATTTGATGCAAAACCTCCACTTATGAAATACCAAGACCAGTGTGTCTGTCGCTAACACACACCACAGTGGAAGTCACTTAAATACCCTTTCTTCTTCATTCTGCCTTGTGCTTGGCATGTGTTCATCAAGCAATCTACCCAACTAAAGTGGGTGGTGAATATTAGTACAGAGTTTTGGTAATCTAGTTTTTAAGCTACAGAGTAAGTCTCCAAGAAATGACTTTGTGTTGTAGAAGAAACTACCTGCACCCATTGAGTTGCTAAAAGAATATAAACATGGAAAAGACTATGGTATAAACTGTTTTCAGTTGTTAGTTAGCTGGAAAAGGAGCCAACGGTTCTGAAATGAATTATCAGAGCATTGTGACTCTAAAGCTTAGCTTTATGTACTGTTTTTGAAGCCTGACAAGGTGGCATGAATAACTAAGTAATTTGTTGCTTTCTTGCAACATTAGTGTCTAGGATTTGAATTTTATCTGGGATAGTATAGTGCTGTGCTTAATGGAAAGACTTGGGTCTTCTTTCTACGCAGTAAAAAGTTCATTGCAAAGAAGTTAACTTTGGATATGTTTTGCGCAACGAGTTCCTAATACCATTCACTGCTAACCACTTTCCTGAACACCCATT